TATCAATCCCTTCGTTGACATCATAGCTAAATCGCCCCATTTGACTTTATTCAAACTTGCTAATGGGAATAAATCATATCTTGATGACAGCCGTATGCTCATGAAAAAAGCTTCTTGACTTTCCACTCTTCCTCGCTGATGTCATTTTCGCATACAAACCGCTTTACAAGTAATTTTACTTGATAAGAAAGCCCGTAATTACAGATGACAACTGCAAACCCACAACAGAGACAATTTACGCTGTTCCACAAGTTCAGCACCGAAGTTCGACCACCTGAAAAGATGGAACGAGACGATCGTTTCCGTTTGATGACATGCTTATTTGAAGAAATAGCTGAGTCAGAGGAGGAAGATATCCAGGTGAGGAGAAAAGTCTCAGAAGTAAGACAAATGCGTCTCTCCTTTGCCTTACCCCAAGTGTCAACCCAGTAATTTTTCTTGGTAGTTCTACGTATTGGAAAAGCCAAGAAAGTAGCGCACAAACGTAACTAAAAACCAAAAACATTAAATACCGTATCTTCGTTTTCGCAAACTAATCAGATTTGTTCTAATGAGTCAGTCGGCATTAGAAATACGCAATGTTCTTATCAAAACTAAAATGCTAATCTGGTGAGACATCTTGCCTCATGCTATCTTCATCATTTTTTGTTTCAAAATAGGCAGCGATTTTATCTTATAACCATGGCAATCATATGACCGTCTTTTCGATGAAACGTAATGGTAGCCTCAATGTTTCGTGTGAAGACATTCCAAGCTGAATTTCGTTGCTTGATTACCCTCCTCAAAAAGTGCAGGCTGCAACAAATATGCCATGTTCTGGAATCAAATAGGTTATCGAGATCATTTGTCCGATTTGAGCGAGACTATTATAGATAAAATGGCACCGTTATAATGAGATGCTTTTCAGCTCCCTGAACGAACTTCATCCGATGGCCGATCACCATTTGCCGTAGCTTGCGAATCCCCTTTTGCCGAAAGGCTTGGAACTTCCCCCCGGAACCTGAGCCCAACCTTCGCGAGGTACGCAAATGCACAATATTGAAAAATCGCATTATTCTGCTCTAATCTCTTCAGGAAACTCTTGACATCCCGTCTATGTCATGGATTTTCGGACTCATGCTTACGTCGACAAACACCAGCTATGTTCGGATCTCTCAGTCCGGAACGTCACGATGCTGTATCGTTTTCGAGTGAGTTTGCTACCAATCGTGAATCTTGCTTTCTAAGTCGAATGTAGCTGATTATCGGAAAGATGTTGGACGCAAAAAGCGATGCCAACCATTTTGACAGAAAAGGATGTAAGTGGTTCGTAGAGACCGCTTTCATGCAAATTCTTTATCTGATTAATTCAGAAAAACAAGAAGTCTATTC